TGGTTCCACTTTCCAAAACCGAGGGCAGCCGCTCTGACCCCTGTAGCTACATCCCCCAGCCCCATCCTCATGCTACCGCTCCAGCTCCAGACACGAGTGGCACTCGGGAGACCGGCTCACATAGTGTCCCCTAACTTTTCCTCTACGCTAGAGGCAAACATAGGGTTCTTCCCACCAGGTTCCTGAGATATCGTGCTGGCCAGTCCAACAAAAGCTCAAAGGAAAGGCAAAATCGTGAGCTCCACTGGATGAGAAGAGGTGAACAGACTGCATTTCAAGATCCTCCTGTAAAATACACACCCAGGCTCAGGCATCTATAATTCCATGGCAAGCTTCTTAAATAGGCCAAGAAGAAGCTGGGCAAACAAGAAGCAAGATCCCAAAGCTCTGAGGAACGTCCCACATCAACACTGCTCCGCAGACTGCCTCCTCTGCGTGACCCAACTAGGAAACCACCTCTCCCCTTTCCTACACGCAGCACAACACCACTGCGTCAGTCAGATGGTGTCTGGGATGCTGAGGAAAGACTGCCGCTCTGACTGAGAGGCTGAGCCCAACGCTGGGAGTGCGTGCTCATCAAAACACCCGGTATCCTGTTCAACAAAGAGCTAACAGAGGATGAAAGCAAAGGCAGAGCTGAGCCAGGAATCTGGCTAACATCGCAGAAGGCAGCATGAATGGGGTTGTTGGCTGGTAAGCAGGTGTGTGCGTTACAGGGTCCTGTGATAGCAGGTAAATCCCCCAAGGGCCCAGTTCTGCCACCATTACTCACACTGGTTCTGATCCTGGCCCCGCCGAAGCCAGTAGGAGCTTTGCCATTGACTTCAGGAGGTGCCAGATCAGGTGTAGAGAGAGCAGTGCTTTACAAAACAAGCAATGCCACTGAAATCCAGAAGGCCACTTAAGAAGCAAGGGACTCCCCATAGGAGTAAGGGCAGCAGACTCGAGCCTTCTTAGTGATTTACACCCAGCATACTTGAGCACCGTCTCTTCCCAAGGCAACTGAGATCACCCAGGAATTGTCCATGCTCTTCTCCCTAATGATTCAGCAGATACAGGCTGGAGGAAGATCCTTCCGAATGCAGGGACCTCATTTCTGGCCCAGCCTGCCTGTGTCCCTAGACAAGGCTTTTTTGTTAGAGTAAGTTCAGCTCTGACCTTCTCACCATCCCTTTCTCAGCAGCTTTTTGTCTTTTTCAGTCCCTTTTTCTTTGCCCATCTCATTGCCCATTTTCCAGATCACTGAGTCTCATAGACTTTAAGGCCAGAAGGGACCATCGTGATCATCTAGTCTGACCTTCTGCACATCGCAGGCCACAGAAGCTCACTCACCCACTCGTGTAATAGACCCTGAACCTCTGGCTGAGTTACTGAAGTCCTTAAATCATGGTTTAAAGACGTCAAGATACAGAGAATTCACCAAAAAAACTGAGGGGTACTTGTGGCACCTTAGAGACTAACAAATTTATTTGGGCATAAGCTTTCGTGGGCTAAAACACACTTCATCGGATGCATGCCGTGGAAAAGGTATGTATACACAGTAGGAAGATATATATATACAGAGAACATGAAAAAATGGGTGTTGCCATACCAACTGTAGTAACAAGACCAATTAATTAAGATGGGCTACTATCAGCAGGAGAAAAAAACCCTTTTGCACTTGTTTAAACCTGCAAGTGACCCATGACCCACGCTACAGAGGAAGGCAAAACACACAGACCCTCCCCCGAGGGTCTCTGCCAATCGGACCCGGGGGGAAATTCTTTCTCAACCCCAAATATGGCGCTCAGTTAGATGCTAAGCATGTGGGCAAGATGCACCAGGCAGACACGGATTCTAAACAATAGCACTCATGACCTAGGACAGAGTCCCATCAGCTTCAAAGTGCCGCACGACACCTTCGTGAACGAAGTGTTATCACTTCTAAGCTGCACTTCAGGAAATTGAGCTCTGGAGAGGTTCAGGCCAATGCTTTTGAAAGTGGACACTGATCTTAGGTGCCTCAGTTTTGGGGTGCCCAACTTGGGGCACCTTGGGCCTGATTTGCAGAAGGGCTGAGCACCTGCAGGGACTTCAGCTGGACTTGTAGGTGCTCAGCAGCTCTGGGAATCAGCCCCTAGGTGTCTCCAGTTGGGTAGCCTAAGAAACCAGACACGCCCCAAATCAGCAGCCACTTATGAAAATTTCAGCCTACCCCAGGTCACACAGTCGGACAATCGCAGAGCCAGGACTAGAACCCAGGCATCCTGCCTCCCACTCCCTGCTCTAATCACTAACACACCACTGTGGTGCTGCCTAGGTGCCCGACATACGTCCAAGAAAGCGACACCTCTGCACTGGGCATTAAACCAGCCTCCATTGACAAAAAGGGAGCTGCAGCTCCTCTTGCTGGAGGGGTGGCAGCATCACGGTCCTGCTGGAGCGAGTGGCTGGTGGATCAGGCCCTGAATGAGAGGCTTACTCAAAAACGGGAGTTTTTTAAAAAGTTAAAAATAAGAAGCATGTGAAAATACCAAGTTCCTCGTTCTCTGTCGTCGCGGCCCCTGTGTCCACACTTTTAAGGGCCTCCCTAGAGCTATTCCCACGTCAGTGCAAACATACCAGATGCTGCTACTGAGTTAAGCTCATACGGTCTTGGAAAATGGTAGCAACTTCACGCTGGCTCTTTGGGGGCCTGACCCAGTGTCAAGAGGCCCATTATGGCTTCTCCTCCGGGCACTGTACTAGCGATGGCCACTCCGAATAGCTCAGTGAGTTCTGGGAATAGCTCTATGCGTCAGCTGACCCAGCAGAGGGAGGCGACCTACGTCCCTCTTTTCAAGTCACCCAGCTGGGGGCATCCGTGAGTAAGCAAGTGCTTAATTCCTAATGGCTAACCACACTGCATCCCTGCTGCGCCTGTCTCCTGCTGGCCTGGGAGTGAAAGACTGAGGCTGGATCTTGAATGAAGATCCCCCACAGGCAGCCACTTGCAAGGGCTGGCTCAGGCTGCAGTCACTGGTGGTTTTCTAAGTCCCCATTTATAAAAAACAAAAACGGGTCCTGGGATCTAATTTCTCAACAGCAGATTTTTGTTCTTGCTTTCAGAGGGGATTTTGGGACTCCCAAAAGCTTCCCCAGCCATCCGACTCCAACAGTTCCAGCAAGTGGGAACATGCCTGTCAGACCGGAGAGAGACGAAAAAGTGCCGTCTCGGCAGAAAGAAGAAAGTCCTCCTCCGTCTGCATGAGAAGCCAAGGAGAAGCTCCGCCAGCATTTGCCAGCCGCCATCTTGGCTGCTGTGTGCACAGGCCCCCTCACAGGCCCGCTTCTCCCAGACAGCTCAGAGATGTGCTTCGCTTTGAAAACACTTCTCAGCCTCGTGTACAGTGTGTTGGCACGCGGCCCACAATGCAGAGCCATTCGGAATGGAGCCGGTCTTTCCCCGAGGGATGAACGCTCGAGGGGGGAGATCAGAACCGCATCTCTCCAAAGATTAAAGGAACTGGATTTCCCTCACCCCTTGCCTCCAACTTTATTTTCATGGGAATTTGGAGAAGTCAGCCTGGAAGTGGAAGATCTCTGACAGGGCTCCAACACCGCCCCCACCTCTACAAACTGCACCCAAATGTGTCCATTAGAGCCCCTCAATCCTGACCTGCAGGATTACGGTTCCAGGTCTGAGCCCCACACAGCTCTACTGTTGGTGAGCAGCACCACAACCTGCTGTTCCTGTCCCACACGCTCCTCTGAATCATGTAGGGTAACAACCCAGCTGGGTTCCAGTCCCCTCAGTTCTGCCAGTGCTTCTCAGGCATAACACGAAACCATCCCCTCCAGCTCTGGTCACGGATCCCCACGCAGCTCTCCCACTGCTTCTCGGTCGTGATCTTCTCTTCCGGTGCCGAGTCCCTCACAGCTCTGCCCAGGCCCCACAGTCCTCACCTGCGGCCTTCCCTGCTCTTCCAGTCCTGGACCACGCCCAGAGACACTGCCGACTGTGGATGGCTTGGTGAGATGGAAAATATCCACCCGGGACCAGACTGACCACAAAAACTGAATTCACCTGTGATCTGAAGGAGCTAGGAAAGGCAGGTGCGGGGGAACCCCAGCCACTGGCTAATGGGATTATTTGGGTTTATGAGGTTGGGGGATAAAACAGCCCTAAACGAGCTTGCACCCCACATTTCCCAGATGGGATGCACTGTCGTCCTTCAGAAATTGAGCTGTCCTGTGCCCCAGGGTGAGCCAGCCTTGCTCACACCCAGCTCTCCTCAGAGAAGAAGGTGTCAAAGGGGCTGGTTTGGGTTGTGTGACGTGGGCTGCTTCCTTCTGGGGGGGCTGCTATTTACCCACAAGTCTTTTCACTTCATTAAAGCCTTCCTGCTGAGGCCCCCTCTCTTGGCACATTGGGTCTGCCATTGCCCTCCACAGAAACCTTTGCAACGCAGGAAAAAACATAAACAGTGCCACGTTTCTATAATAACGCCCCCATCCCCTGACCATCCTCCCCCTCCTCCCTCTCCACCCTCCCCCGGGATGTCACGTGAATCCTGTTTTTACCTGGGCAGCCCAAACAGTTTTAGTATTTCCCCCCTTATCGCCCACAATGACTGCCAGCTCCTGCCGTACAGCACAAAGTCACCTGAGATCAAACGATTCAGAGCGTTTCAAAGCTTTGGGGGCAATACCAGGCTATGTTCCTTCCCTTCCTTCTGCACACCAAGATGATCAGCAGCAAAACAAACCAAAGTACATGGATAACGACCCAGAACATCCTCTGATCTACCCCTACCCCACCAAACAGTCCTCCAGAAAAGCCAAGAGAAATCCCTTTTCCCCATCCAAACCTTTTCCCCCACCCCACCACACAGACACACTCCAGAAAACAACTAGCTACAAGAATCTAAACCAAGACACTGAACTGACAGAGCCAGCTTCCCCAGGAAAACTCCAAGCCCCCATTCTCTCTGGGTGCAAGAAAGATACATAACATTGATGCCGATCAGCTAGAAGCTTACTTTGCAGAAGCAACAGCTGCCACAGGAGGAGTTTTGCTACTTGCTCCATTTCTTCAGCCTCTGTGTGTTTTTCTCTCTCTCTCTCCTGAAAAACAAGTCGAAGTTGTTGTTTTTTTTAACCCAAAAACACTATGACCTCATCAACGTACAGCCAGGGAGCCAGGGACAGCAGCTCAAATTCTTGCAGTATTACTCCACCTACAATTTATAACACCCCACCTCCCCTCTGCACTGCCCCCTCCAAAACACTCTCTCCACCTCCTTCCCTTCCTTAATGCTTCCTGCTCAATTTCTCCAAAACATGAGCTCTCTCTCTTCCCCCCTTGGATCCTTCTGCTCTGCTCCCTGACTTTGATGTCAAAGTCTTATCTGCTGACTTTTGCTGGTCCCACACAGCTCTGCGCTCCAAAAACCAGCCCCCTCCCCCTACTTCCCTTCTGGGTATGAAACTAATTTTCCTTGTGCTTTTACTGGATCCAGCTGTTCCTCCCTTTCTTTTGACACTCATCCAGCTGTCTGCCGGGGACAGGATTTTTGAACCTTCACGGTTTTTTGATCTGTCTCCTCACATGGTTTTACTTTAAAAACAAGTATCAGAGGATGACTTAAGAAACAACATTGACTTGAGTTCAGGGCAGTGGAGGCAAAACAGACTAGATTATAAGTATCCCCCCAAATGTCTCCTGATGGACAGGACCCCTCTCCAGCCTTTGGTGCCAGCTTCTCTGCTATGTAGAGACAGGAAAGATACGACCAGCAGAGAACCTCTACATTCAGGCTCCGTGTACAAGAACAGAACAATGCCATGGGCTGATTGATTTCTATTCTGAGAAAAAACAGACACCTTGTACAGCGGATCTTGGAGAGCCCAATATACTGCTCTTTGTTTCCTTGGTCCACTCATAAGCTGTTAGAGACAAGACTAATAGGGGAAATGTTGGTGGGGCCACCTGGATCCGTTGTTACTGAGGGCCATGGTACAGCAATGATCTCAGGTCGTGATGGAAAAGCAGAGTTCTGCTCATGAAGTCTTTAAACCACGATTTGAGGACTTCAATAGCTCAGACATAAGTTAGGGGTTTGTAACAGGAATGGGTGGGTGAGATTCCGTGGCCTGCGGTGTGCAGGACGTCAGACTAGACGATCGTAATGGTCCCTTCTGACCTTAAAGTCTATGATTCTATAAGAAAGACTGTTACGTTAGGCCAGGTCTGTACATAAAGTGGTACTGATGGAACAAAAAGTGTGATTTTTATATCAGTTCAGTTACCAGTGCAATATTGTTCATGGACACGTACATCCATTCAAACCTGGCTCAGAGCAGTTTAGCTTGCATCCGTAAATGCACAGGCCCAGGCTAAACCAATGTAATCAGTTTTAAACTGATATGAAAGACCACATCTGAAAGGGGCAGCAGCTTAACTAAATCGATTTCAGTTAAACCAATGCAGTTTTTGTGTGTAGAGAGTCAATTGAGAGGAATAACTGAGAACTATCTGTGGATAATTTCCTTTTCACCTGAAAAAAAAACGTGGCTGGCCAGTTACTCCAACATCCAAGAGCTACCTGCAGAAATCGGATGAGTCTTCCCCAAGTTCACACAGTTATTTTTTTAAAAAAATCAAACATACATATTTTCAAATCCAATGTTAAAACTCCAAGGCAAGTTTTCCATTCTCTAGGAGTGACTTTTATTCTGCAGAGACAAGAAAAGGTGCCCGAGAGCCAATGGAGTCAAAGACGCAGCTGGTTTGGGAAACAGAACGCAAGAGCTCCTGATCTTGGACAGGTCTGTTAACTCTCAATGGTGGAAAATAAATGAAAACCGTCAGAAGTAACAGTAAGGCCTCAGCCTGAAATCCGTAAACCCTCCATTGCGAGTGGGGACTCTTGCTTCATCTCTGCTGAACGTCTCAGCGGGTTCTGTGTCCTTTTAGCGCACCAAAGGGCGCTCCCGCTACCAGACTGCACTGAAGACAACGTGAAAGAGAAGAGACAGAAAGATTCGTTTCCAAACATGAAGATGACCCTAAAACGCAAGCCAGCAAAAAACCGCAACCCTTGCCTTAGCATTAGTGAGGAAGGTCTTTCTGTTCCATACCAGTACGTTTTTTGGTTCAGAAAATGAACCCTGATCCTAAACTGGTGAATTATAAACCTTAGTGGGTGACATCCTGAGTCAGGACTCCTAGGTTCTCTTTCTGGTTCTGTATTGATCTGTCATGTGGTGGCGTGGGCACCCAGAACTCCCTTTGAGGTCAGTAGGTGCTCAGGATCATTGCAAATCAAGTCATAGCACCCCGTGCCTTGGGCTAGCTACTTTGTGACTCTGCTGTGTCAACCCTTCCCCTCTTCAGAGGCGCTGGAAGCTTAACTGTTTGGAAAGCACTTTGAAATCCTTAGATGGAAGCAGAACCAAAAACCTGATTCCAAACCTGCCCAAACTTCAGGGAAGTTGATCCATGTCCAAGCTTTGCAGCTATATCTATAAAGGGATGAACAACACACCCAGATTAAAACACCTCTGTCACCTCCCAGGCTTCAGATCTAACCCAATTTTCGCTCTCTCTCTGGAACTAACGCTGTGTGGAGATGTAATCTGACAATCTGAGCTGCCATTTCCCATGTTAGGGAGGTCAAAGACAGCAGCAGGAGAGCTGTGACAGTGAGGGATTTTTCAGTTCCGTGACAGTTCCAAAAATTTGTGGGGAGAGGGGAATAATTTTCAGTCAAACCAAAAAAAAAATGCTTCAAAATTTTTGGTGAATCTAAAAGTCAGGAAGAAAATTCATTTTGAGTCAAATGAAAAGTTTTGTTTTGATTGTTACCCCTTTTCAACACTTTTGATTTTTTAAAAATAAAATTCAAGGCGATTCTGAAGACAAGTCATCGTGAACCAAAACATTTTGTTTCAAAAAGGTCAAAAATGAAACTTTTCCATTTTTCCAGAATTTTTTTAAAAGTATTTTATTTGGCAGAAACAATTCAGCAAAACCAGCACAAATTTGCCAAACATTTTGGTGAGTCCAAATCTGCATTTTTCACCAACAAATAGTTTAGGCCAAAAAATTCCACCTAGCTCTAATCAGCAACATGGGCTACCATCGGCCCTGATCAGCCTGCTGGAGCGTTCAGATTTCCTTTATGTAGCATTTGACTCAGAACAACGCCCAGACATCTGAAGGAAGCGGACTCGGAGGAATGCACATTTCAAGGGTGGTTGTGTGCTGGGAGTGGCTTAAATTCAAATTCACAACCTATTTGTCACAATGGTTCTTCTTCTGTTTGCATCCTTTCTGATTTTTATTTATCCCCTCCTTTTGCCCGCATATATTGCCAGAGTCAATAACATCCCAATGAGGTTCCACCACAAACTGACGCATGTATTGGTTTGCAACAGAGCATGGAGAGCTTTGCTTATGTCTGGCTCCTATATACCACAGACAGTGCTAAGATAGTAGCACTTTTGCCTCAGCGGCTGAAGGCTGGGGGTTCAAGTCAATATTATTTTTTATTACAGTAATACCTAGAGACCCCCAAACAAGATCAGGGACCCACTGTGCTAGGTGCGTCCCTGACTGGTCTTTGTGCAGGCAAAAAGTATTATTGTGCCCATTTTAAAGTTGGGGAACTGAGCCACTGAGAGATGCCAATGAAAGTCAGTGGGAGTTAGGCTTGTAAATCACTTAGGGACTTTTGAAAATATTACCCAAGGTCACACAGGGAGAGCTAGGAAATGGCCCCAGATCTCTCAAATCCTAGTTTAACACCTTCACCACAAAACCAAAATCTTGCTCCCAGATTTGAGTCCATGCCCAACGCTAATGCCAGAGGGAACTGCACTTAGATGGGATATTCAGCCTAACACAGATCTCCTCTAAGGGCTGTCACAAAGGAAGTTACAGACCCCAGGGCACTTTCCCAGATAGCACAGGGAAAGGACTTGAATGTCCCCTCCCAGTAGGAGCTAGTACATGAGGATTGCCTAGGGCAGAGTAACTGGTGGTACTTGCTCTCACAGCATGTAGATGAGTAACATAACAGGAGTACGAAAAGTGCTTAGATGTTATTTTAGGACTTGGGCCCAATTCTCAGCGGGTGTAAGTTGGAGCCGTTCCATTAGAATTTGGCCCTGTGCTTTGGTCTTGAATGATTTTGTACTTTTGAGAATTGTTAAACTGCCTCCTAGAATTTAGCAGTGGATTATACCCTGCTCTAGGGTTCCATGCACTGATTTAAACATTCTGTTGCAAGCACATCATTCTCTATGGATTTCTATCGGACTCTTCCACACAAGTCCGTTGGGCATCTCCTACTTGACCAGGCCTATGCCTGCAAAGGGCAGGGCGTGTTAGGGCAGCCCACTCCTACCTCTCTCCTTGTGTGAACTCTCGAATGGTACTGTCCCAGTAATCCCCTAGGATCTGACCAGAAGGGAATGACTATCTCATTTGCAGTTTAAATTTTCTCATAGAGAAGTTCACTCCCTGCAGGCTTGGCTGTCATCACAGCCCTTCGTGTTGCCACCCTCTCTGCCTGTCCCTTTCAGAGGCTCCTGGCCTTTCACTGAGTCCTGGCCATGCATTGAGCTGCAAAGCGCACCGGACACCGAGAGGCATCTCGGACCTCTTTGCCAGGTGGCATTCGATACAGCAATCAGTTTCCCAGCGTTACACAGCCTTTCTGTTTGGTAACTTGTCATGAGGCCTCAGAGAGAAAGGAAATCTTTAGCAACTGGCAGCCTTCTCCACTTTTTGGTCAAACACACTGTTAGTCAGCCATGAGCACTGCCCTTTCCATGTAGGTTTCAGATTGGGCTGTTTGATGCACTGTAGCTGATTGAGCCAATAAGATGACCGATAAGACGCTTAGTGGCAAAGCATTGTGTGTTGAAACACCTGGATTCCCTAAAGCCACATGTTTGAATCCTACCAGGGATACCACATCCCTTTGTTCTTCCAAGGGAAATAAAGACATAACCCTAGAAAGTTAAAAAAGTGTGTGGATCTGTCCAATGAGCCCTTCGAACCAAAGGATATGGAAGGTCTCCATAGCATTTCTAGCAGAGAAAGTGAGTGCCCCTGGTCAATTTTTCCCCTGCCACAATATCATGCCCTGTCCTGTGTGCTGGATGGCAGCTGTCCCCCATCCTAGAAGTGGTTGCATCAGTGGAGCTGGGTAAGTGCTTTAGGAGGAAAAGTGCATTATAAATGTAACATTTTATTACAGAGACCTAAACACCAGGACATAGTGCGTGCTCTGCAACAAGGGTGAGTTGAGGAGCAGCCAGACTAGATCAGACCCGTGGTCCATCTAGCCCAGTATCCTGCCTCCAA